AAAGAAAGAACCAAAGACTTAAACTACTTCAGTCTGTGTGCATTGAATTTATTTAATACACGAGTTTCACAATTTGAGTTGAATTACTGAAATAAATGAACTTTTCCACGACATTCTAATTTATTGAGATGCACCTGTATATATACATATATAGTATATATATACATATACAGTATATATATATAATTGGAGCAAATGGGAACACAATAATTATATTTGTTGTATTTCCCGTTACCCAACTATGATGACTTTGCTTCTGAGAACCGGAAATATGAAAGGGGTCCATAGTACATTTTTACACATAATAAGCCATATATTAGTATATGTTATATTTAATTTATATTTTAATATTGATTTATATTTTCAATATTTTTAATTAAATTAATTTTAAAAAAAATATATTACCAGGAAAATATTTACTTTGAATTAAGTTTACTGTATCCTTTTCTCCCCAATATTAAAGCTAGATTTTTTTTTTTTATTATTAATGCTAGAAATTTTTTACATTCAAATTTATTTGTATTGTGGTTTTCACAATTAACTTTTAGTCATTTTGTAACATTAGTTGTTGTTGTTGTTGTTGTTGTTTTTAAGTTTAAGTATTTAAGTTATTTTACATCAACCAAAGATCATCTGTTTCCAGCATCGTATACTATTGTGCGTGACTTTGTTTTGTTGAGTGCAAGCAGTCAGTGAAATGAACACTGTCAGAGATTAAACCAAGCAGAGTATGAGAAAGGTCAAACATGAGTTGCGAGGAAATGTTGTGCCGCATGAAAAATGAATGCTAGTGAACGTTCAGTACGTCTGTGATTGAGGAACACTCATTGCATAACGTCTGACAGCTGTGACCCCACTGCTTTCTGAATGCTCTGAAAGTTCAGAAGCGCCTGACGACACTCAAATGTGAGCTATAAATTGTCTGTTCACATCAATGCTGCAGCCTCCCATAAGACTTTGACCTGTTAAAGAAAACCTGAATATAAATCAGGTTATGCCTTGATGTGGAGCCCTAGTGCTTATGTGTCTATTTTATAAAGATGAAAATCGGCAGCTCATATGTTTATAATGGCATCTCGGGTCACTATATGCCTCAGATGGTAAACAGAGATGTTTGGTAGTTACATAGTTTTCTGAAATGCATGCAGAAGCATAATATGATGTAAATGCACCCGTTCATGATGCTTATCTGCAGTGTTTTTCATGTGGCATGATGTTGATGTCGATGTCGACTGACCTTTGCTGGCGCTGAAGTCCCCGGGGTCAGCGGCCCTCCTGTGTGAGATGGGCTGGAGGCTCGGGATGAGAATGAGAGAGAAAGAGAGGACCAGCACCTAGGAAAAGAAGGAATATTAAACGAGAGGAAGTAAATAAGCAAGTCCTGCTATATGGGTCAGCTGATGACCTACATCCTCTAAACGGCATGTTCCAGTCAACACTTTCATTATAATCATCATCCTCATTCTCGTTCTCTTTCTGCTACATGCACAGGAAAGATGAAAAGATGCAGAAAAACAAGGATCAGCAATATTGCAGTATCTTTTCTCATATAATGTTCTTTATATACTTAATTATTATGTATACCATTTAGAAGTTTGGGGTTGGTGAGATTTTTTTTTTTTTAATGATTTTGAAACATCTTGTTCTCTATTTCTCACCAAGGCTGAATTTGTTTGACCAAAACTGCAGTAAAAATGTAAAAATATTTGTAAAATTTAAAATAACTGTGTTCTATTTAAATATATTTTAAATGTAATTTATTTCTGGGATCAAAGCTGAATTTTCAGCATCATTACTCTTCAGTGTCACATGATCCTTCAGAAATCATTCTAATATGCTGATTTGGTGCAAACATTTCTGATTATTATATTTTTCAGGATGAATAGAAAGTTTAAAAGAACTGCATTTATTTAAATATAAATATTTTGTTACATTATAAATGTCTCTACTGTCACTTTTGATCAAATGAATGCATCTTTGCTTTAAATAAAATTTTTAATTTATTAAAAAAAAACTAAAACTCTAAAAAACAAGAACAGTAGTAAATTATAATTATTGTTCCCTCTGGTATATTTTTCATTCACTTTCAATGCGTTTGCATTTCTTTCAGAGGAGTACGTGAAGAGCAAAGCTCAAAACATTTGGAAGAAATTTTCTGAAAAGATCCTTTAATAACATATTAATTTAATAAAGCATTATTATTTAATTTTGTAACGAAACATTTATATATTAATGTATTACATTTATATTATTTCTATTTATTATTTCTAATAATAATCATATGTTTTATTAAATTATCTGGAAATGTTTTACTTTGTATTAATCTGAATTTATCATTCTTTTATAAAACTGAAGAAATTTTTTTTTTCATTCAATTTAAATGTATTTGTATAGTTCAAACTAATTTTTTTTTCTAAAGCAGTTAATTTCCAGTCATTGTGTAAAATGTGTAAAAAATAAAATCAATAAATACAAATAATAATTTTGGTCACATTTTCCAGTGACCCATGTAAACTTTTTTTTTTTCTTTTTTTTTAAGTTTTAAGACATTGTTAAGCTCTTTATGGAAGGTGGCAGTGAGATCAATCACTGATGTAATCAGCTGTAATAAAGAAGAAGAGTGACTTAATTAAGTAATGCTGACGACACCGCTGAAATCTCTCTCTTCTCTGGCCTATGTGTCCCCGAACATTTACTTTTCTCCTTTTGCTACCTCTTCTGCAAATGTTCACTTTGAAGCTTGACTTTGATTGTGCTTCAGTTGTAAAAATGCCTGGAGCTGATTCCTTCAAAGCATAGAGCTTCCTTTCTTTCTTCCTTCCTTCCTTCCTTCCTTCCTTCCTTAATTTCTTTCCCTTTCTTAGGTTCCTCCTCCTGTGCTGTCATCTTACCAGGATGCAGGTTCCCGTCTGAGCCGGTTTACTGGAGCCATTCATCACCAGAGACTGCAGCCAGCGTAACTGCTCCATCAGAGACCTGGCAGATAGATGGAGAGAGTGCTTGCCACGTTAGAGGAAGCGGTAATGGAACTTCCATTTGATGGTAACCATCAAATGGAATGGTTAATGGTAACTAAGGACAAATATGCAGGGAGTGGAAGGATTTCACAGTGCTGCAGAGTGTTTTAAAAATGTCAGGATGTTAAAATAAGTTTTGAAGTCGAGTCCATCAAGACAGATGCTTCTGCTCATCAATATATTCAAATACTCTCAATTTGAAGCCAGTCCTAAAAGGATCAAACAAGAATCTTCAAATAAGATTCTACTGAAATTCTGTATAAATTCTGATTGATAAATAAATAGATATATAAACAGAAATAAATAAATTGTAATAAAAACTCTCTTATGCAATATCTTTAATTTATTGTTAGAAAATTCTTGTTTAATTAAATGTGGATTTATTTAAAATTATGATGAGGTTTTTTTTTTTTAAAGGGACTGAACACATTTTCCATGTTGAATACGGAGTAAAATTCTGATGTATTACTAGTTAGTGAAGAATGGTATCATGGTCACGTTTAAAGCTACACTTAACCACTGATTTCTAGTCGTGTCCTCTTTTGGAAGGCCAAACAAAGCAGTTTCGCTTTCACAACAAAACACACGGCGAGCTACAGTGAGCGGCGGCTGGAGGGCTTGAGAACGGCGCGGCCAGCGGGCTTGCGGCAACCACATGTGACGACCCCGGGCTGGACTCTGCTTCGTCCACGGTGAAAGCCGATCCGGCGATCCACAGCGCGAAGTTGATGTATTTCCTCAGCGACCAGCACGGATCAGCTTCAGGCATGACGAAGCGGATATCGTCCTCTTTTGGAAGGCCAAACAAAGTAGTTTCGCTTTCACAACGAAACACACAGCGTCTCGACATGGCGGCAACAACAATACTACAGCGAGAATAAAAGTTACGCCTTCTTTCTTTGTGTGAACATTTGGGCGGCGTTATGCAAATCTTCCCACATAGTGATGTAGACATGTGGGGGCGTGTTAGAACGAGCAGTTTTAGGTAGGCGTGGTTGACTCTTAACTTTTATAAAGAATATCTCTGATCATGAATTTGAGACTTTAGTCTTTGCAACTTTACAGATCTTCTTTATGCACCAAGAGCTTGTAACACTTCAAAGAAAAAGGAAAAATTGAAATCGCATCAAATGACCCCTTTAAAGCATAGCCAATCATGGTTTATTGCTCTATTTTAGGCTTTGTTTTCACTAGAAATCTTTAAATTTAATAGCTGATTTTATAGCATGTTAAATATACTATAAAATAACCAGTAAAAGATTGAAAGAAGAGACATTTCGTAAATGAATCTCATAATGGAATGTGATTTGATGAGGGTCAGGTTTATAGCACAGTTAAAAAGCTAGTTTACATCAGCAGGTTATAAACCTACATATTTGACAGCAGTGGATCTCAACTGGTGCGTCACATTGTAACTGGCCATGGTTTGTTTCTTGAAAGGTTCATTTATTTTATATTCATAAACGTATATTATTTGAGCTCATTTATTCTATGCATAAAAAGTGATTAAAATGTTAATATGAGATAATACATACGATATAAAAATGTGATAAAGATGATCGCACACAGCAGGGGAAAGCAATATTAAATACAAATGATAAAATGCAACTAACTATATAATATTGCATAGTTCTAATACCAAAATAAATAGCTTTATAAAGGGAGGAGAAGAAGCTTCCTATATTTTTTGTTGCACAAAATTAGACAGATGCCAGAAAGATTGTGCGACATGACCTCATCCCTGAAAACTGCAGGGGGGTGTTCTTAGTTTATTTTTAAGGACATTTTAGTTTTCTTTTGTACAATAAGTAGTTTCAGTACTGTGTTGGTCCACTTGATGTCCAATGTAAATCCAGATCCTGAAGTGTGAAACTATTTGAGAATCACTTATTTATAGCCTTGTCAAAGTGGAGCTGATCTGATATTGTTGTAAAACGAGACTTACGTGTTGGTTTTCTCCAGCTGGAGGACTTTCCTCTGTAATTCCTGATTCTGAGCGCTGCAGGCAGCCATCCTAGACCATAGCATATTGGCCAATTATTCATAGTGATAAATCTGACCTAAAACACTCCCACACACCCTCTGTCTGTCACAGCTGCTGCGTGTGCGCGCACACACACACACACACACACACAAACACTCCCTATATAGTGCATGTTGTGCTGGTAGCATTAATTACATTAGACGATAATTCAACAATACTTGTTGGTCCAGTACTTCTCCTGAATGGGAGATAAATGAGCCATAACACTAGATTTCTAATTTGCACAATGACAAACATTTTAGAGGCTTTACTGGATTCAGATGAATCTCATAAAACATAATATCCAGGTCACATTTCACCCCAAAATCAATAAACAAGGAGAATACATTCTACTAGCTGTAATTTATTTTATACTCATTAATGTAATGTAAATGTATGTAAATTACGTGATTGCGGAGGGGGACCAGGTCAATATGCTGTTCAGGGGGCCCACAAACCACAGCGGCACCCCTGCCCACAGGTGTCTGTTAGTGTAAGTTCACACGACTGACTTGTGAATAAAAAAAACAGCTAGATGGCTGTGGTGCTTTTAGTGACTGCAGCGCTGGCTGTGAAATGAGTTTGTCCTTTGGACAGATAAACCCACGAGCTCTTCCTTAGAGGACAATTTCATGCCCGAAATTTGTGCAGCAGTGTGTTCTAAATGATTTCTCCAGCCTCTCGGAGGATATTCGATTCCTTTGATCCTAAGCTAAGATAAGTTTGAGCCTGGATTTTTAATGACTTTCGACCTCAATTTCAACTTTACTGCAAGTTTATTTAGTAATGAGTTTTTCTTTGATATGATATTCATTCATTCAGACTGTGTTTACTTGTACCACAACCAGGACATCTGGTTGCTGAACGCTATTATTGTTCACAGTATACACTAGACTTTAAAGAAATCTCTTATTCGCACCAAGAATGCATTTATTTAATAAAAAAATACAGTAAAAACAGTAATATTGTGAAATATTACTACAATTTTAAAGAACTGTTTTCTATTTGAATATATTTTAAAATAGAATTTATTTCTGTTAATAAAGCTGAATTTTCAGCCGTCTTTATTGTCACATGATCCTTCAGAAATCATTCTAATATGAAGTGAAGTGATGTGACATGTGGCCAGGTATGGTGACCCATACTCGGAATTAGTGCTCTGCATTTATCCCATCCAAAGTGCACACACACAGCAGTGAACACACACACACACACACACCCGGAGCAGTGGGCAGCCATTTTTGCTGCGGCGCCCGGGGAGCTGTTGGGGGTTCAGTGCCTTGCTCAAGGGCACCTCAGTCGTGGTATTGAAGGTGGGAGAGAGCGCTGTACATTCACTCCCCCCACCTACAATCCCTGCCGGTACGAGACTCGAACCCGCAACCTTTGGGTTACGAGTCCGACTCTCTAACCATTAGGCCACGACTTCCTACTATGCTGTATATGCTGATTTGCTACTCAAGAAAAAAAAAATTCTTATTATATTATTATTATTATTATTATTATATATAAACAATTGTGCTGCTTCATATTTTTGTGGAAACCATGATACATTTTTTGATGAATATGAGGTTCATGAGAACCGCAGAAATAGAAATACAAATGTCTTTCCTGTCACTTTTGATCAATATAATGTATCCTCTCTGAGTAAAAACAGTCATTTCTTTAAAAAAAAAAAACTTACTAAACCTCACATTTTGAACGACTATGTATTTAGATCTGTTTTCTCATTCTACTGTATATTTTTAATGTGAGACAAGAGATTTGTAAGCTGAAATGGTTGAAATGATGGCTGAATTTAAAAGTATATAAATGTTATATTATGTTATATGTATATGTATGTATGCATGTATACATACAGTATATGCTTGTCTATAATCACCTTCCCTCCAGTCCATCTACGTATTCCTTCTTTTTCTTGCGGCTCTCCTGTGCCGACTGCTTGTTCCGGATTTTCCTCCGAATCTTCTTCAAAATCTTTTCTTCGTACTAAGAAAATCACGAGAGAATGGGCCAGACAAAATGTTAAGATGAATTCATCTAGAAATGAGATGCACAGGAGTCTACATTTCAAGCAATTATTTTGAAACAGATTTATAGGTCTGAAACCGCAGGCGACATGTGAGTCAAATCAAATCAGCTTAATCTTGTCATTATCTATTATTCTAGCACACAGAGGGAGAGAAACCTCGGCAGCTGAAAGGAATTAGGTGTTATTTTGATGAGAGGTGCCTTTCATCACTGACTTCATTCATCTCAGCCTCTATAAAAGCTTCCTTCCTTCCTACTGATGTCTGATCAGGCTTCCAGCAGTAAACGTGGAGGAATGACACGTGGAAAGGTTGTTACTGTGATGATATTACAAGAGTGGTCATATGGTGTTATGATGTCATAACCACAGGTGTGAGAGATGTGTACCAAAGACTTTATAGGTATAACAATATGGTGCACTTTTATCACTACAAATGGGAGAATATGCAATGCAAAATATAATGGAAGAAGTCCCATCTTCTAAACAAAAAGAGCCAATCGGCGTCATTGCATCAAAAACATCACAGTGAATCTTGTGAAGTAAAAAGCTGCTTGTTTGTATAAAACAAAACCATAATCATTAAGGCAACTTTAAACCAAAATACGAGTCCATAGGCCATAATAACGCTTCCTCCAGTGAAAAAGTCTATCCCCGTTGTCCTCACATCAAAATCCACCCACATATTTATTTAGAACTGTTTTGGACTGTTTTCACTTGTATGCGATGCTTGATCTGTGCAGATTTCTCTCCTGATTCTTACTAGACGAATTTTTCAATAAAGAAAGCAATATTATGGATAGAGTCCAGTTTGAAGTGGAAAACGTCAGCGCTTCACAAGACATTAATTGTGGATTATTGTGATGTTTTATCAGCTGTTTGGACTCTCATTCTGACGGCACCCATTCACTGCAGAGCATCCATTGGTGAGCAAGTAATGTAATGCTAAATTTCTCCAAATCTATTCTGATAAAGAAACACATTGTTGGATGGCCTGAGGGTGAGTCAATTTTCCGCATATTTTATTTTTGGGTTAACTATTCCGTCAACACTATTTGTTTATGTCAGATTTTTTGTTGGTCTAATTCAGATAGAACCTGTGTGTTCAAAATACCTTGTTAAGAGGCAGTTGGCTGGGAAGACTGACTCCTTCCTTGGCTAAAAGTTTCTTCTCATCTTCATTAAGAATCAGTTCTTGCTGGGATTGCTGGGTGGAGGGTTTCGACTAGACAGAAACACACATTTTGTTTCATGTTCTTTCAAATTTGTATTACATATTATAATTTATTTTGTAAGCAGCTGTGGATATTATTAGTTGGGACGAAGCTGCAAAGTGCCACACAAGGACACTCCACTTAGTCTCAGGAATCAATGCATTGTATTGCATAATGACAACAAATCCTTTCAGACTCAGGAATTCAGGTGCTACATCAATACATCAATACATCTGCTCACTTGTTTTTTTCCAGCGTACATCACAACACATAAATCAATGACTCAACGCAGCAACAAGCCAAACACTGAAACAGCATCTGTGGAGGTATTAAAGTGTTGTGAAATGCAGTAACCGCTCTCTATTGTGCCTTATGTTGCCCGGGAATGTTTACAGGTCAAAGTCATTACCAGTGAGCTACAGGAAGAGCTGCTTGATTGAACACATTGGCCACTCCATCCTAAACATGCCGTTATCTGTTTAAAAAACACTATTAAGCTGCCTCGCTGTTTACTGTCTACACAAGCAGCTGCTTTCTAAGAATGCATTTTTACATAACGCACTCTTGAACTGTTATTTAATTGGTGGTCTGTATACATACTATATGTGCTGTTGCATCATACGTCACTATTTTGTGTGTGTGTGTGTGTGTACTGTATGTGTATGTGTGTGTGTGTGTGTGTGTGTGTGTGTGTGTGTGTGTTTGTGTGTCTGTGTGTGTATGTGTGTGTGTTAACACGCCATGTGGTGATGGAAAGTTCAACTTTTAAAGACCCCTATGTTCCATTCCATTTTTAAAATTATATATATATTTTAGCAGTGATGCATTTATGCTGATAACATGTACAGTTTGCATGCTTTCGGAATTGAATGTTGAGACTTACGCCAGTCCATTGGGGTGCACCTTGTGCTGATTTTTATTTATTTATTTATTTATTTATTAATTATTATTTTTTGAGTGTCCTTCAGTTTTTAAGCTAAAAGCTTTTTAAAATGCTCCTGAGACACTTGCATTCTGATGCACTGCATTTCACTCGTTCTAGATGAACTGAATACATCTTATGTAAATGCCACCTAAGAATGCATGTCAGGTCAACCTGAGCCAGTTAAACTATAGGGCTTCCTAAAGATTGATTAGCTGGTCATTTAGGCAACCCATGGGCTAGTTGTTTTTGAAAATATGTTGGTTTTCACATTTCTAGCACACAGATACTGGGTGATTTGTAATTGTTTTTCATCTTTTCTTTTTAGTATTTAATTTTATATGCACTGGCAGACAAAAGCTTGGGATAATTAAGATTTTTTTTTCATGTTGTTGAAAGAAGTCTTATGCTCACCCAGGCTGCATTTATTTAACAAAATTTCAGTATATCCTACGTACAACCTTAAAACGTTGTCTAGGTTTTGGAACAGAGCTATGTGTTTTTCTCTTTCTCTGTCATGGATTTCTTCCTGAGTTCCTCCACATGTCCTGTTTTCCAGTATGAAATCTGACAGCTCCACTGCTCTCTCTCTCTTCCTCTCCTCATGCCGGTTGTCATTAGCATCCGTGTGTATGTCACACTAGCTGTATGTTTCACACTGAATGTCTCGGCAGGACAGTTGAGTGACACACACTGCATGGTGTCTGTTTATGTTCTCTCAGTGGTGCACTACTCACCACTTCTCCGATGTTGGAAAGCAGCAGGTCTTTTACGGTGAGCTGGTTAACGGTGGCTGGTTGAGTTCTCTGCACTGCTGACATGCACTGAGAGTCTGTCAGACCATCGGAGAACAGACAGGCCTCCCAATCTTCTGCTCGCACACACACACACACACACACACACACACAGAGAGAATGCGTTTACATCACACTGTGTCTGAAGACCAACAGACAACAAAGATTTTGTTAGTACACTACTGTGTGGTAGATAGTGTTCTGGTGGTTTCTAGGGTGTTGCTAAGGTGTTCTTAGCACATTTATATGTGGTTGCTGCTGTTCTTGAGTGTTGCTAGGTGGTTGCTAATGTGTTTTGATGGTTTTTAGCACATTGCTATTTGGCTATTGCTAATAATAGTGCATTAATGCAGCACTGTTAACGCGGTGTCTATTTGACCCTATGAATCACCCATAGGTTGCCAGGTCCATGATTTTCCTTCACCAAACATTATTTGTAATGTGCCTCCCATCCAATAATCACAAAGAGCTTTGTGCTTTGTTACGGCTGATAAGAAACAAAGTCTCAGCTTTCAAATCCTGTACATTGTATCACAAAATTCAAACAATTCATGCCATTTTGACGCATAAATGTGACGTGACAGATTGCTGAAGCTCTTGTTCAAGCGGCAGTCTATTCCAAGTTCATAGAAGTTATAGCACAGAAGGCACAGTGCCCTCCACTAATATTAGCACCCTTGGTAAATATGACCAAAGGTGGCTGTGAAAATAAATCTGTTTATCTTTTTGATCTTTCATTCAAAAAATTCACAAAATTTGAACTTTTCTTTGAAGTAAAACAATTGAAAGTAGGGGTAAACATTATGAAATAAATGTTTTTTTCTCAAATGCATGTTGGCCACAATTATTGGCACCCGTAGAAATTCTTATGAGTAAAATATCTCTGAAGTATATTCCCATTCATATTTACAATTTTTAGCACACAAGGGTGACTACATGCATGAAATCGTCCAGCCATGACTTCCTGTTCCACTGGATTATAAATATGAGGAACACAAAGGGCAAATTCCCTTAATCATCCATCACAAGGAGTAAAACCAAAGAATATAGTTCTGATGTGCAGCAAAAGATTGTTGAGCTTCACAAAATAGAAAGTGGCTGTAAGAAAAGAGCTAAAGCATAGTTCCAATCAATGAAATAAATGTTTTTCTCTAATACATGTTGGCCACAATTAATGGTACCCTTAGAAATTCTTATGAGTAAAATATCTCTGAAGTATATTCCCATTCATATTTACAATTTTTAGCACACAAGGGTGACTACATGCATGAAATCGTCCAGCCATGACTTCCTGTTCCACTGGATTATAAATATGAGGAACACAAAGGGCAAATTCCCTTAATCATCCATCACAAGGAGTAAAACCAAAGAATATAGTTCTGATGTGCAGCAAAAGATTGTTGAGCTTCACAAAATAGAAAGTGGCTGTAAGAAAAGAGCTAAAGCATTGAAAATCCCCATTTCCACCATCAGGGCAATAATTAAGAAGTTCCAATCAACTAAAGATGTTACAAATCTGCCTGGAAGAGGACGTGTGTCTATATCGTCCTAATGCATGGTGAGGAGGAGAGTTTGAGGATCACAGCTGGAGAATTGCAGAGATTAGTTGAGTTTGGGGTCAGAAACCCCCCCCCCCCCAAAAAAAAAATCAAACAGCCCCTATATCACCACATATTGTTCGGGAAGGTTTCAAGAAAAATCCTCCTCGCTCATCCAAAAACAACCCCCAGCATATTCAGTTGTCAAATACGACTGGAGCTTCAAACAGGACTGGCTTCTATGGTCAGATGAAACAAAAAAAAGAGCTTTTTGGCAGCAAACCCACCCGATGGGTTTGGTACAAACAGGGATAAAAAGTACCCCATGTCCACAGTTAAATGTACTGCTGGATCTTTAATGTTGTGGGCCTGTTTTTCTGCTGGTCCTGAACATCTTATTCAGATACATGGCATCATGGATTCTATCAAATACCAACAAATAAAATAAAAAAACTGACTGCCTCTGTTAGAAATCTTATAATGGGCCATGGTTGGATCTTCCATCAGGACAATGATCCAAAACAAACATCAAAATCAACACAAAAATGTGCCACTGAGCACAAAATGAAGCTTCTGCCTTGGCCGTCCCAGTTCCCTGACCTGTACCCTATAGAAAATGAGTGTGGTGAATCTGAAGAAGAGGCACCAACATGGAGCTGTGAATCTGAAGGATCTGGAGAGATTCTATATGAAGGAATGGTCTCTGATCTCTCGTCAGGTGTTCTCCAAACTCAGATATCTAGAGATAACAGATATCATTCTGAATAATTGCCTATTGGTATTGGCTGAGAAATTTAGCATCTGGAAGATCTGGAATATCACAGGCTTCTCCTGCCTGCTTCAGAATTATAAGTTTATTCAGTTTAGGTTAGTCATTCTTCATTACATTTACTCAGGCTTTGAACTCTGAAAGCTTTGAAAGTCTATTGTGTGTTGTGATGTTCTGAAGACCCTACAGCTTTTTTATGATTGGAAGAATAAATGGAAATTCAATCATTCCCCACATTATTTGCGATAGCCTGCAATTTTGCTTTATTTGGGCAATTTTGAAGCAAGTCAGTATCAGCTATTCAAGATCCATGAATCCCAGGCTAATTGAGATCAACGAAATGTTCATATGTTTACCTTGTCCTGCAGCTGTACTATTACAGAAAATCAGTACGGCCTGTAGAGGGTAGTACACAATATGTACCCAAGCAGAAAAACAAAAACAAAATGTGATGTTTTCTTACCAAGTTGAGTTGATTTCTTAGTGCATCTCTGATGCAGCATAAATTCTTGTATATTACACTTTAACTACACAATTACATAAAGATTGTTGACATTTTTTGACTGTAATATTTTAGTATCATTTATCATGATATTTATCATTTGTATAAATCATTTATCATTTGTATTTCCTTTTTTACATTTTTTAAAATTCTAGTAATTTTGTTGTGTTTTTTTTTTCTTCTTTTAATGTCGATATAGTTTTTATTAATTTTTATTTTTGTTTGTTATTTTTAGTACATCAAGTTAAGCTAAACTGTAGCTGAAATATAGTAAGTTTAAGTTTTTTTTTTTCAGTTCAAATTTCAAGTAACAAAGTGGGTTTTTATGGTTTTAGTAACTGTTTGAAGAGTGAAATCTCACCCAGATCAATGGAGATATCAGGCTCTGTGTTTGCGACAGGTGCGTCCTGCTGCTGAAGATGCTGAGGGAGAAGATGAGGATGCTGAGGGAGGAAGATGGAGTTGAAAAGCGGGCTGGCGGACGGCGGCGGGCTGTCCAGGTGGTCAGACGGGGTGTCGTCACTGATTCCGCTGTCAGAGGGTGAGGGGACCCACAGAGGAGAGCAGGGCTGCGACACGCCATCTGACCCTTGCAACAGGACGTCCAAGAAGTTATCAACAACACCTTCTTCACCATGACACAGAATCTGCAGGAACACAAAGGAGTCACACAAAACTGTAATGTATCTGACTCATAGATGATAAATGCACCCACCTGAGTCTCAGCAGAAACACACACACTCACACACATATATATATATATATATATATATAGGCCTATGTATATATTGATATATATGGTTGCTACATATAATGTCATATAAACTTAAATATGTTAAATATTTTCATCTACCTAGAAATTGTATGTGAAAACTATATATCACCTTAATAATAACATATATTGGCAATATCACTGTTGATATAGGACAATATATGTCATGTGTTATATGTCCGTATGGGTTTCCTCAAGAAGTGCGATACTTCACCAAAAATCTCCCTTCAATCTCATCGCTGTCTTGCAGAAACAACTGAGTTTTTTTACCAACACAGAGGTGATTTTTCTTTTCTACGAGGTCCTGGTCCACATGGTTTGAGTGTTTAATTTATCAAATGAACATCAATAAAGCGTGTTGCAGTAACTGCTGGCAATGAAATGTGTTTTGCTGGTAATGAACTCTAGTGGGACCGCGAGTCTGATTGATTACGTCTTTAAAACGGACACATGCTGACCAAGCTTTGCCACATTTGCTGATCGACAGCGTGGCATGTGGTGTGGTGCAATACGTTCATTTTTTCTAACAAACAGCTTGCGATATACAGCACTTTGGTGGCGAGCCAGAACGAGGACAAACGCTGCCAGATCAG